TACAGGGAGACACCAGCTCACAGAAGTGAGACCTGGTGATCCCAACTAAAGAGCTTCTAACTAAGACAGGTATCATGTAAGCAGTAAAAAGGATCACTACAGGACTTTGAAAGGGTTGTCTTTGTATAAAGTTATGAAGAGGATGGTTAGGGGTAGGTCATGTGTTTCTATCGGATAATTCCGGACAGAGGCTCACAGTGATTGATTCCCGGTGCTAATTACAGAGGTTTTCATCATAGTCACACCACTGAATGAAGTTTCCAAAGCTTTTACCAGATGTCTCAGAGATTTTCTACAACCGTTTGATTCAAGCCGATTATTTATCAAAAAATCTTGTAAAAGCTGTGGGTCTAGAACATTTTCATAAAATTCTCAGGAGTGAACCCCTTAGAGGTAGACAGTCACCTCCTTCTTCCAAGTTTTTTCTTCGTCCAGAAGGTCTGCTGAAAGTTGTTGAAGAGCAGAGTGTTAGAGTGCAGACTCACCTGACTCACGCCTGCAGTAATGACGGCGTGAAGCCTCGAGAGAACCGGTGCATTTGGATTCCAGGGTAAGTGACAACGCTTGAAAGGACCATGGACAGACAGGAGGATGAAGACATTTGTGTGGAAGGTAATAAAAGCAAGAATGGTGAGCCATCCTTTCATGTTCTTTGATGTGTAATCTGGGAGATCAGTTTCCGGAAATGGACACCATGCTTAGTCAAGGTTCAGTGTCGAAGAAGAAGACCCCAATGCGATGGATTGACACAGTGGCTGCAGCTATGAGAACAACCATCATGAGGATGGTGCATGTTCCCCAGTGCTTGACTCTGTTGTACTTAGATAGCATCACTATGAGTTAATACTGACTCCATGGCACCTAACAATGATAACAAGGAAACTTCATGGGGGTGGGGGTGATATCACAAATCCTCCTTTAAAGCAATTCTTTTTAATACATTCCAGTTAAAAGAATATTTTTAGCACAATTTTATACAAAAACAACACCGGTGTCAAGCTTTCTTTCTTCAGAGTATATTTCTTTCACATTTGGGCTTTATCATAAAGGGAAACACACCTGTGTTTCCCCAGTTTCTAGCAATTCAAAGAACCAACTAGCACTCACCTGCAACAAGTATTAGTTGATTCTGGTGCATGCAGCTAAACAAGCAGAGTCCTAGACAAGCATGCAGGAAGACCGATTTGATTCATGAAAAGACTTATCATACTTCAATTATTTAGTTCTGGTCAAAAATCACTTATGGACTTATCTTTTAGATTAAGAAGAGGAGTACTGAATCACCTAATGACATAATGGTACACTAAGTGCAATGTCAAGGCACCCCCCCACACACACACACACACTGTAAAACTCAGAAAAGGAAGAGCTCACCAAGTTCAAAATGAAAGCTAGGCTCTGAAAAATAGTCTAACAGGTTATGATGTGATGGTTTTCAATTCATTTCAAATGATGATATGAAATAGTTATCATATGGTATTACTTCTAGGTATGCATGCATATACTCAAGATAATGTAAAGCATGTTCACACTAAAGCTTATATAGCCATGTTCATAGTAACATAATTTATAATAGTCAAGTCAAAATGTAGGAAAACAGACATCAACAACATGAATACAACAAATGATAATAATTGATGAATGGAGAAACAAGGGTGGTATGTCCATACCATGAAGCAGGATTTGGATAAACAAAGGAAGTATAACAAAATAATAGAACATCCTTAGCAATAATTCAGGATGGCTCACTAATAGTTGATGCAGTGCTGATGAACCTTGAGATGTGCAGCCCACAGGGATTAGGCACCTAGACTTCACACTGTCTGCACTATTCAATTTACATGAAATATTAAGAATAGATGCATCTAATGAGATATAAAGTAGACTGGTGGGGGTGAAAATGGTAAGTGACTACTAAAAGACTAGTGTTTCTTTGAGGGGATGAGGGAAATGTTCAGGAATTAGATAGTGATGATGATTTCTTAACCTGTGACTAAATTAAACCCCCTGAATTGTATATATATTTTATACCTAAATTAAATTTTAATAAAGCTGCTAAAATATTGTGCATGTCTTTCAATCACAGCACTTTGTAGAGAGCCTCATCTTGGTGTAAGTCTGAGAATTCTTGATATCCTGTATCCAGCTGGTTGGCCTAGTGTTGACATTCCATACAGGTCACGTCGTGGCAGCTAAGTGAACCTTTTCACTGAACTTTATAATGCATGTTGAACTCAAACGCTCAATTCACTGCCATGAAGTCGATTCTGCCTCAGCAACCCTCAGGACAGAGCAGCATGGCCTCATCTTTCTCCTGTGGAGCGGGTAGTGGTTTCCAACAGGTGACCTTGCAGTTAGCAGCCCAACGTGTAATCCCCAACACCACCCCAGCTCCTTCCTTCTAACTCTGGAAAGCCACAAAATCCGTTTTAGATTTCAGTTTCCTTGCGACCTTGCAGGAAGAAAAGCGTGAACAAACCCTGCTGTTGGTCCTCTGGAGTTGAACTGTCTCTTGCATCAAGGAGCCTCAAGGCACAGGGATCTTGGAGTCCAGAGGACATGCTCCCTGCTGGGCTTTTCTCTCTTGCTAGGAGTGAAAGGCCCTTCTTGCTTCTGACATGGTTGATTTTATACCCAGCAGGATCTCAATCGTAACGAATCTTGTTAAGAATCACTCGCAACTGAATCATAGAATAGAATCAATATCCATCCCCACTGTCTTGCCCAGTTCCATGAGGAAAATGAAGCATGTTTCATAAGAATAACGAAGACCATAGAGAGGAGAATTCTATGAAAAATTCACAGGAATAGATATAAACATGTCTTCAATGAGAAGGTTAGTTTTGGTGTAATGAAGATTGACTGTGAGTGTCAGTAGATCCTTTAAACTGGTTACCCCCCTATTTGTTTGAAGGTCCTGAGTCTGCCATCTCTGCTGCAAAAGATAAGAATAATAGAAATGACTCGTCTACATGGTTACTGGACAGAAGACATAAGAATGAATATTAAGTTGTTTTGCACTGTGACCCACAAGGTAGGCAATTCAAAACCACCAGCTTCTCCTTGTGGGGAAATCCAGACATTCTGCTCCTAGGCAGAGTTCCGGTCTTGGAGTATCATGGGAGGGGGTGGGGGTTGGGGGGGTATTGGGGGGGTGCGCAGTGTGTTGAGATGTCACTGTGGGTCACAAGGAGTTCGCACGACTTAAGGCAAAGGGTTTTAGAAATGTGAACTATACAAAATGTGTTGCATGCACCACTGTTATTTCCTAGTATTATTTTCCTTTTTCCTTATTTTAATTATTGGGTACCCATGTATACTTGTGGAGGTCACAACATAAACAGCCAATTTCCAAACTAAGGAGGAAACTATGAGAACAGTGTTTTTAGAAACAAATTGAAATGCGAGTTTTTCCTTCTAGCGAGAGTTCTAGTTGAGTGGACAGTAGTGCTGGCTTTCTGTAAGTGGTATCTCTATTCAAAGGAGGTTGATTTGTGTATTCCACGTTTTAAATGGTTCTGTTTCTTACTATTATCCAAGGAGCTGATTTTCCGTTTGCAAAAGTTCTTACTTGTCTATTTTAGTAGCCTGTGAGATTAAGAGTATCTGTTCTGTGTGGGTATCATAAACTTTAATTCCTTGAAACACACACAAAAGATAGTTAATATTTAAACTTTCATTCTCTCCTAAATAAAAGCTTTCTAACAGATACATGACCCTACAAATACTATGTTTGAAAATAAAGTGAAATGCATCATCTAAATTTTATTTTCTTTGAGTTTGCCTTAAAGACATGACGGATGAACGGATCGCTCTGACTAGGAATCTCGAAGGTCACTTCATTTCTGTTCTTAGAAGTCTTCGAATCTCCCTGACGTGCGGTCCTAGGCGGCACTAGGCGTCGCTTATCCATGGCTTTTGAAGATCGATACTTCAGTTTGTTGCCCTTAAAATGAAGTTCCGCCCTTGATGCGTGCGCTTCCGTTTCTTCATTTCCACACCCAGGATCCTATCAACCCCTGCTTCTCTAGGGTATTTGTTGTCGATTGTTTTAGTAAACACTTATTTCGTCAGAAGCTGCAATGCAGAGTCTATCAAGTTATAAAGATCCAAGGCTTGAACACCGTGGTCGGTGAAGTTGGTTCTCTTTTCCATTGATCACATTTGTCAAGTATTGCTTTGTGTGAGTCGCGGTATTACACTTTTCTCCTTTTTTTTTTTAAAAAAAGGGGATCACTGAGGTTGGATGTTCTTTAGGGTAAATTTGTAAAACAGAGAAAACAGATGCGTCTTTCAATCACTTGGGCGCCTGGATCTCTTTGACCGGTCTCACAACCTCAGGCCTGGGCCCTTTTGGCTCCAGTGATTAATTCCAACCCCAGATCAGCTGCGGGAGAACAGAGATTGAAAGCAGAGGAACACCGGGCATTGCCCAAACCCAGGCCCCAGCAAGCGTCCCAGGAGCCCCGAAACCTCTCCCAGTCCACGCTGGCAGGTGACGGGGCTTGCGACGGCCTGGTGGGTCCAGGGTGGACTTCTGGACGCCGCTCGCGTGCCCTGCCCTTCACCCG